CCGGCCGCGCCCCCGCTGCCCTCGCCCTACAGCAAGGTGACGCCGCCGCGCCGGCCGCACCGCTGCAGCAGCGGCCACGGCAGCGACAACAGCAGCGTGCTGAGCGGCGAGCTGCCGCCCGCCATGGGCAAGACGGCCCTGTTCTACCACAGCGGCGGCAGCAGCGGCTACGAGAGCGTGCCGCGCGACAGCGAGGCCACCGGCAGCGCGTCCTCCGCGCACGACTCCACGAGCGACAACAGCAGCTCCGTGGGCGGCCGCTGCCGCAGCCTCAAGGCCCCGAAGAAGCGCTCCAACTCAGGTAGGCACCGGGCGGGCGCGGGCAGGACCCTGGGCCCCCCTTCCTGCCTCCCCCCGCCCCCGCTGACCGCCTGCGCCCTCAGGCCTCCACGGGGCCACGGCCGCGTTAGGTGTCGCTGTGGGACCCCACTGCCAGACGTTGGCGCGCCGGGGGCATCCAGCCCGTGGGCACCTGCTTGCGCGGCCCTCCGGAGTCCCCGAGACCCAGGCTTGTCTGCTCTGGGGGCGACGGTGCCGCCACTCAGGGCTTTCGGAGGGGTCAGGTCAGAGCCACCAGCCTCATGGCCTGGCAGCTACAGACACCAAAACTTGGGGCTGGTGGCCCTGAGACTCTGGCAGCCGCTCCTGGAAGCAGGATGAAGCGCACTGATCTCCTTGGCGGTGGGATGGGGAGGCCCTTCCTCTGTCCCCCCCACCCCCACCCCCAGACACACTCGTGGACAGCCACCATGGGGCCTGAACACACGCACAGTACACCTGCACGACACACACACACACACACACACACACACACTGCACCAGCACAGCACACCCAAGCACCCCAAATGCATGCTTTCTGAGCAAGTCTTTGCGTCTCCAGGAATCTCCCATCAAAAGCAAGCAAATAGTGCAAAGGATATGACATGGTGGTAAAACCCCCTGACTTGTTAATTGGAGTTTGGAGTGACAAGTGACAGGACGTTATGATGGATGAGAAGAAGAGGACCCAGGTCAGAGAGGGTGGCCCTCGTAGCCATGGGGTAGGTGAGGTGAACGGTCAGCCAGGAGAGACTGGGTCGGAGAGACAGGAGGCAAAAGGAACTGAGGACGACTTGAGCTACTTCAGAATTCTCTGTGACTGAGCTCCGCTCTTCAGTGGCTTCCACGGAAGTTACCTCTACTTGTTCTCTAGCATAAGAACGCGCTTTTAACGAGGCCACCTCGTGAAGAGCCCCGTGTGCAACTCTGTGCCTCAGTTAAAGTGAGAGTGGCGTGGTCCTGCCCTCCTAGCCGGTCCTTTGCCGTACTGAGCCCTCCTGTGGGACCCCAGGCTCCCTGGGAGCCCTCAGAAGCCGTTGTGCCACAGAATGTTGGTGGCACCAGCAGGTTTGGAATTAAAATATGGGGGGAGTCCTCCAAGTGGGGTCTCCTCTGTCCTGCAACTGCTCCGGCAACAGCTTTTTCTCTCAACCATGGGGGGCGGGGGGGTTGCTTTTTCCCTCCTCCCAACGTAGGCAAGCACGAGCTCTAGAATGTTCCACCCCAAATGTAAGGCACATCATAAAGCATCTGTCTGCCTCAAATCGAAGAAATCCACCTCATAGTTCTAGATGCTGTGGTGTCGCTCTCCCCACCTGCCCACCCCCTCACAGACCGCAGTGTGTGAGCGTATTGTGCTGTGAACACGTCCAGGACTCACGGCTGTCCGCCATATTTATTTCCCCGGGCGGCGTGTGCTTCAGGCTCAGACCCACTTTGGCGATGCCCCACCCCAGGCCCTCGGCACTCTGCGCCTCATCAGGGACCTGGGAGCGGTGCCCGTGCGAGACAAGTGCAGAAAGAAAAGCCACTCAGTAATAACATGACAGCTGCTAGCTGCTGTGTCCTCTTTTCAGGGCCGTGAGCGTGAAAACATATTGATGTTAGTCACTAAAAATAGAAAGAAAGTTCATCCGAGCCAGACTGTTTGCAGGGGGGCGGAGGGAGGAGAAGATCTGCTGGCCTTCCCCGTACTTGGTTGACAAACCTTGTTGCTACAATCTACCCAGACTTCATTCCTCAGGGTCCACACCGTTGTGACGCAGCCTGTGCGCTCACATGTGTTTGCCCGTTAGAATGCTTTCCCGCACCCTCCTCTAGAGCCTTCCGTCTGCCGGTCCCTTTTGTTCTTTGAGCATCTTTTTTTCCCCCAAGATTTGCATCTTTCGGTGTGGCTGTCGCGCTGGGGTAAAGAGCTCTGTAAAACGGCTGCCTGGAGAGTGGCCAGCAGGCTCGGCACCTGTCCTGGCGGGGTGCCGCCTGCTTTTACAAACGTCATCCTCTGAGCGTCTCCTGTCAGGTTAGGCTGTTGGAGGACAGGGCGTAGGATCGAAGCACCAGGCTAGGTGCCTGAACGCCGGGAGCACCGGACCTCTGTGACCTTCATAATGAATGTGGCAGTGGAGATCCACAGCCACACCAAAAAATGCAAAAAATGCCGCCCACAGGTTAGGTGACCTTGACAATGGAGGTGGCAGTGGAGACGTGCTCCTCACCGTTAGGGGACCTTGTCTTGCTTATTTATGGTTATTATTAAGAGAAATGTTGGCTGTCAGACATGATCAGCATAAATCAAAAGCACCTTCCTTAAGAGAAGCCGTAAACCTTCTCAAAGGAAACTCCTAGCTGGGTAGCTGGATTGTATAATTACTAGAGGTGTTTGAAACTGCGGAGGAGACCGGTTATCTTTTATCGGAGATTGCTTTTGAGTTTGGAAAACTTTAGTGGTTTGCTTGAAAAATGAACTAGAAATACAAGATGAGGAGGATAACCTTGAGCTCTCGGTGCTCCGTTGTGCACATAACACGAGAAACCAGCGAACGTCCTTAAGCTTATTGGTCCCCTTCCTGGAGATCCGTGTTGGTGGAAGGTGCGTGGAATTGGCCAGACTGTGACACTCTGAGGACCCGGCCTCAGGGCACGTGGGTCCTGCCAGAAAGTAGGAGACTTGGGGTCTTGGGCAACAGGGTGAGATGAACTCAACGAGGGGACGTTCTTGATGGATGTGACGACCACAGAAAATGTAAGCACAGACCAAGTTATGCCTTCAATGCCTGGCAAAGTTGTAGTTGGCCATGGGGTAGTCGTTCTGGGTTCTTGACCAAGAGAGAAGCCGTGTTTGCTTTTACTGATGGATTTTCATCAGTCCATCCACAGGGCACTGCCAGCCGGATGTGGTCAGCAACACGGCCGTTAGCCGTGAATTAGAGTGGTGACGGCCAGCCTGGATGGGGAGCATGTGTCTGCCCTGGCTGGGGTGCGCTCAGTGGCTAAAAGGACATGAATCAGGGAAGGCCCCACCGGAGCCCCAACAGCCCTCTGGCATCACTCCTCAGGTGTCACGTGAATTCTTCCCAGACTCTTGGCCACTTCTTCACGTCCCAGACCTTTCACCCCACGCCTGCTGGGTTACCCCCTGAGCTTCCTCCTGTCACTTTCCTGCTCCCAGGCTGGCTGGGGAAATCTGAGAATCAGATCAGCACTTTGGTCTGAATGAAGTCCCTTCCCACTGTAGCAGGCCCACCATAGAAAGCCGGGGAGGGAGTGAGGGAGGGCCAACCCGGGGAGCCTGCCTGTTCCAGGATGCTCGTAGGGCTTGACCTGCCCGGACGTGAGCTCCCGCAAGGCCAGTTCCCCACCTGGCTCAGCCCACTGGGTGCCCAAGGCCAGTTCCGCATCTGGCTCAGCCCGCTGGGTGCGCAGCACTGCATGGTGCAGGCTCCCATGAGTCATTCGGACACCCCTGATTGATTCACTGGCTGGTGGGCTGGCTGGCAGATGGTCCTCCAAGTGAGCTCAGAGTTTTTTTCTATGTCACCCCGCTGGTGACCAGTGCTTTAAACACCAAGCTTGTCTTCTATATCCTTTGCCACGCTAAGCACCGAGCACCATGCCTGTCCTTCTCTGGGTGCTTGGTAAACTTAACCGACCGATGGGATGCTGGGTTCAGTTTGCTGAGCTGCTGCACCAGTATCCACGACTTGTTACTCCTCACCAGGGCCAAGAGAGGCCTGATTCACTGTGTTCCCCCTGTGCTGCTCACTGGGTCCTCAGGTACCATCTTGTCCCTTCCTCTCAAGGTGGCTGTGAACCTCAACATGCCCTGGAAGAATTAAGTCTTTAACTTGTTTTAATGTTTATTCATTTTTGAGAGACAGAAAGAGACAGAGAGAGACAGAGTGCGAGTGGGGGAGGGGCAGAGAGAGGGAGACACAGAATCTGAAGCAGGCTCCAGGCTCCGAGCTGTCAGCAAAGAGCCTCACACGGGGCTCGAACTCATGAACCGTGAGATGGTGACCTGAGCTAAAGTCAGATGCTTAACCGACTGAGCCACCCAGGCACTCCAAGAATTAAGTCTTTGAAGAAGACAAATCTGTGTAGACAATCACGTAAAAGTCTCTAGGGTACCAGGAATCCAGGCTCCTTCTATCTTTTTTTTGTGTCATTTATGATCATCACCTCATGATGCAGCCACTGGGCCCATATTTCACCCAGGACAAAGGAGAAAGGAAGAGGAGGAGGCCAGACCCCCCCCCCACCCTTAAGGACACTTCCTAGCAGTTGCCCATAACACTTCTGTGGATACCCTATTGGGAGGAGCTTAAGGTGCATGTACCCAGGGTGTGGTCCCTTCCTGGGGGTTGTGTGCACTGCTACGACCCAGTCTCTTTCCCGAAGGAAGAAGAGAACAGGTCTCGGGGACAGCTAGCCGTCCATCACAATGCGTAAAGCATGTTGAGTAGGGTCTGACATATAATCGGTGCTTAGTACAGTGTTGTTGTTATGAGCAAATAAGCATTGTTTCCTAGAACTCCTATGACCACATTACCAAACACTGGGACCCCTTTTCCCTAACACAAACATCTCTTTAATTTCACTGTGACACATATTCATGCTGAGCATATGGCTCATGGTTCTAGACCACGTGTTTTTGTGTGTGCACGTGTTCTGGTGTGCATGCGTGTGTGTGTGTGTGTGTGTGTGTGTGTGTGTGTGTGTGTGTGTGTGTGTTTCGTGGGCGGAGACCAGGGGCAGCTCTAAAGGTCAGGCAGGGAATTCGTGAGCTCTTGGAGGTGAAGCCTAGGTGCCAGTTTAAGGGATTAATTGTCAAGGTGTGTGGCTGGGCCTTGGCGTGTTTCGCATTCACCTGCCGCACATCCTGGGATGCCCATCAGGGTCCCCCACCAAAAGATGCGTATCAAGATGTAAAAGATTGAAATTCAAAAAGATTCCCTTTGGGTTTAATTCCGTACTTAGGTTCTCAGAGACGGAGGCTCATCCCTGCGCTGTCCCTGGACACCCCTTCCCCCGTAAGAAAACCCGCCAGCAGCACCGGGGTCCGCTGGGTGGACGGCCCCTTGCGCAGCACCCAGAGGGGCCTCGGGGAACCTTTTGAGATTAAAGTCTACGAAATCGATGACGTGGAACGACTACAGCGGCGACGAGGGGGCAATGGCAAGGTGAGCCTCCTGGTCCCCACACGGGGGCAGCCCCCCCGCCAGCCCCCTGGAGAGCTCCTCACTTCTCCACCCCGAGTGTTGAAAGGGCTCCAGCGCGGGGGGAACTGCCAGTCCTGGGGGCTTTTCTGGCTCCAGCTGGGAACGCCAGCCACCTAAATTTAAGAAAGGGCTGCGGCAGTCCTGCCCTGTGGCTGTCCGATCCAACTCCGGCGAGGCAGAAGCGTGGCTGGGCTGGCCCAGGGCCCTCCCGGCTCCCCAGTGAGGGGCCAGCCCCCTCGTCCCCGCTGTGCACATGGCGTTCCCATCTAGAAGAGGCTGCGTGGGTCCGAGCTGGGTGGGGGAGGCTCTCCTCTCCCCGCACCCCCACGCCTTCTCGTCTACCTTGTAGGAGGTCACGTGCTTCAACGCAAAGCTGAAAATTCTGGAGCATCGCCAGCAGAGAATCGCCGAGGTCCGAGCCAAGTATGAGTGGCTGATGAAGGAGCTGGAGGTCACCAAGCAGCACCTGATGCTGGATCCCAACAAGTGGCTCCGAGAATGTAAGACCCCAGGTTCATTCCCGTCTCTGGGACTACTGGGTTGGCCGGCGAACCAGGCCTGGCACACGTCCCGGGGCGAGGTGTCCATGGATGGTGCTGGGACCCGAGGGCTTGGACACCACCAAATGGACACAGTAGCTCTGAGCCCACGGTCTCACTCTCTGTAGGGAAGGTGGGCAGGGTGAGGCAGCAAAAAGGGGTGGGGACTGTTGCTCTTGCGAGAATTTTGCTTATGTGTCTCAGTCCAAAGCGTCTGAAAATGAGATTCCCCCCGCCCCATCGTGCATATGGCAGATCAGCCAGACATGAAGTTGCATTACAAATCCGCTCTTGGGCCACAAAATCACGTTGCATATCTAGCCCGAAATACACAAGAATTTATAGAGCTCTTAATAGGGTAGAATGTGCAATCCTAGAAAAACCTCACAAAGAACCCAGAGAGCAGGAAAAAAAAAACATTTTTGAGTGGAAAAAAAAAAATAACATTCGCCGTGTTATTTCTATTTAATAGAAAGCCCAGGATGACAGTAACCATCTCCTAACAATTCAGAACAATTTTGCTCTCTCTGACAGATTCAATTGTCTCGTATTTATTTGTTCCTAACCATTCCATTTACTGCAAAATAAAGCTCAGATCTGGTCCCAACTATTTCACTGATATGGGACCCAAGGCTGGAAGACTTTGTGGAATAAAATGCATAGCTGCCGATAAATTTCCTTTCCCTCCCTGTCTGGCACTCACCAGCTCTTCCCCCTCTGCCTCCACTGGTCTCCTGCCCTTCACCACTGTCCCCCTTGCTCCCCCACTACCCCCTGCCCCTCCCCTCCCACACATCAGTCACCGTCTCCACTGTGTCCCCTGGCTCAGAGAGTCCCCTGGGTAGGTGGAGTCTGCAGAAATACTGGGCCCAGAAGAAAGGGACAGAACTTGTCAGCCTCCTGGCTGTGTCCTACCCCTGACAGCAGTCCGCCCTCCAGCAGTTTCTTTTCCGTAAGAACGAGGTGGTAACATCGCCTGAGCACCTCCCTGGGTACTTGCGAGGATCCAGTGCGCCAACCTGAGGACAGAGGGTGGTGACCAGTCTGCCAAGCATCCCTCCGTGTTGCACCGTTTGTGGGATGACCACAGGCCCTCAGACCTGATCAGAGGTGGCTTTCCCGCACACGAACTGTGGGGCCTTCCTGAGCCTTGATTTCTGGAGCTGTAAAATGGGAAGCGTCGTGGAACCTACTTCGTGGGGGGTCGTGAGGAGGGAGTGAGTGATGCTGCTGGGTGCTTGATGAAGGCATGGTGCTTAGTAGCAGGACTAGTTGTACTCGTAGTACTGTGTTATTATCCCAGAACCGAATACAAGTCGTCAGCAGAAGACAGTTCCCTAGCGCCTGCCTGCGCAGTGCGTGGACTTAGGTCCCCTGTTAGAGACTGTACGGGGACACGGACCCACCCTTTCAGTCCCTGGTGGGGTGCGATGACATGAACAAGGACGCTAGCCAATGTCTGGTCATGGCATAAATATGGGGCCCAGTGCTCACTTCTCCCCCACTCGTGGATAATCCATCTCCTTTCACAAATCCCAGGAGCCTCAAGGTCCTGGGATTGCCCATTCCCGCACCCCCCCGCCCCCCCCCCCGGCCTTCATTTGTGCTGTTTTCATTAAAGTTTTAGTTTTTTGAGCGCCGTTTATGTTTGAGGCAAGCTCGAGAACTGTCTTTATCTTACAAAGTCTCGTGTTTTTTTTTTCCCCAAGATGGGAGTGAGCTTACACATGAGCACATATGTGTAGTCGCTTCCAGAAAACAATCGCTTCCTTCATGCCTTTGTACCTGTCTAGAATCAGCGACTGTTTGATGCTCAGAAAGGCAATGAACAGAAGGCTACATGAAGGCAGAAACACAGATTGGTCCTTTAAGATGAAATGAAACCAAAAATGAGCAAAACAAAAAAAAGCAAGAACAAAAACAAAAAAACCAGTGAGGCCACAGGCTGACGATGCACTGGGAGTGGGTGATAAGCTGACTATTGGCACAGAAATCTATGTGCTGGCATCCATTTTTATTTTTCTTAATTCCGATGCCACTTTCGAGGTGGTCCAGTAACATAGCCTGAGAAAGGTATGTCATGGTGGGTTCTGTTTTTAATTTTTTTAATTTTGTTTATTCTTTTTGCCATGCAATATTGCCATGCTCTGTTATGTTAGTTTCAGGTGTATAACACGCTGATTCTCTATGTCATGCTGTGCTCGCTGCACGTGTGGCACAGTCTGTCACCACACGACACCGGGACCACACCATTGACTATATTCCCTGTGAGAGGAAGAGGGAGGGAGGGAGACCCAGAATCAGAAGCCACGCCTTCCATCCCGGTGACATATTCATTCCCTAACTGGAAGCCTGTACCTCCCTCCCCCCTCCTCCCTTCAGGCAACCACCAGTTTGCTCTGTGTATTTATGGGTCTGTTCCTGTTTTTCCGTTTGTGCAATTTTTCATCTCTTTTAAATTCTGCATATAAGTGAAATCAAATAGCATTTGTCTTTCCCTAAGTATGGTGCCCTCTGGGTCCATTGATGTTGTTGCAGATGGAAAGAACTTGATCTTTCTTATGGCTGAATAATATTCCATTTTGCGCGCACGCACGTGTGTTTGTGTGCACGCACGTGTGCATGCGTGTGGCGCGCACTATGCATATATCAGCCGTGCTGACGGGTTTGAGGTGACACCTCATTGTGGCTTTGATTTGCATTTCCCTGATGATGAGTGATGTTGAACTACTCTTCATGTGCCTGTTGGCCATCTGGATGTCTTCTTTGGAAAAAATGTCTGCTCAGGTCCTCTGCCTGTTTTCTAATTGGATTCTTTGTAGGTTTGGGGGTTGAGTTGTCTAAGATTTTTTATATACTTTGGATATTAACTCCTTACCGGATACATCATTTGCAAATGTTTTCTACCACTCAGGAGGTTGCCTTTTTGTTTTGTTGATTGTTTGCTTCACTGTGCAAAAGCTTTTCATTTGGTGTAGCCCCAATAGTTCGTTTTTGCTTTTGTTTCTCCTCCCCGAGGAGACAGATCTAGAAAAATGTTGCTAAGGCCAGTGTCCAAGAGATAACTGCCCATTTTCTTCTAGGAGTTTTATGGCTTCGGGTCTCATATTAAGGTCTTTCATCCATTTTGAGGTTATTTTGGTGTGTGGTGTGAGAAAGTGGTCCAGTTTCATTCTTTGCGTGCAGCTGTCCAGTTTTCCCGATGCTATTTATTAAAGAGACTATGGTCTCTTTCACCAATGGTCTTTTCACCATTGTACAATCTCACCTCCCTTGATCAATTGGAATGTATAAGCATGGGTTTATTCCTCTGGCTCCCTATCTGTTCCCCTGGTCTTTTTGTTTCTTTGTGCCAGCATCACACTGTTTTGATTACCATAACTTTGTAGTATAGCTTAAAATCTGGGATTGTGATGCCTACAACTTTGTTCTTCTTCCTCAAGATTGCTTTGACTATTCAGGGTCCTTGGCAGTTCCATACAAATTTTAGCATGATTTGTTCTTTTTTTTTTTTTTTTAAATTAAAAATTTTTTTTAAATTTTTTAATGTTTATGTACTTTTGAGAGAGAAAAAGAGAGAGAGATACAGACAGAGCACAAGCAGGGGAGGGGAGAGAGAGAGAGGGAGACATAGAATATGAAGCAAGCTCCAGGCTCTGAGCTGTCAGCACAGAGCCCAATGCAGCGCTCAGACTCATGAACCGCGAGATCATGACCTAAGCCAAAGTCAGACACTTAAACGACTGAACTACCCAGATGCCCCTAACATGATTTGTTTTCATTCTGTGGAAATTGTGACTGGTATTTTGAAAGGGATTACATTCAACCTGCAGCTTGCTTTGGGTGATATGAACATTTTAATGATATTAATCCTTCTAATCCATGAGCATGGTATATATTTCCATTTGTTTATGTCATCTTCAATTTCTTTCATCAGTTTTTTAATAGTTTTCAGAGTGCAGATATTCCACCTCCTTGGTTAAGTTTTCTTCCTAAGCATTTTATTATTTTTGGTGCAATTTTAAATTGTTTTCTTAAATTTTTTTTTTAACATTTATTTATTTTTGAGACAGAGAGAGAGAGCATGAACAGGGGAGGGTCAGAGGAAGAGGGAGACATAGAATCTGAAACAGGCTGCAGGCTCTGAGCTGTCAGCACAGAGCCCGACGCGGGGCTCGAACCCACAGACCGCGAGATCATGACCTGAGCCGAAGTCGGACGCCCAACCGACTGAGCCACCCAGGCGCCCCTTAAATTGTTTTCTTAATTTCTCCTTTGGCCAGCTCATTATTCTTGTATAGAAATGCAACAGATTTCTGTATATTAATCTCATATCCTGCAACTTTCCTGAGTTAATTTATTACTCTTAATGGTTTCTTTGTGGAGTCTTCAGGGTTTTCATTACAGAGTATGTCATCTGCACATAGTGAGAGTTTTATTTCTTCCTTACCAATTTAGATGCCTTTGATTTCCTTTTATTGTCTGATTTCTATGGCTAGGACTTCCAGTACTAAGTTGAATAAAAATGAGTGGACATCTTTTTCTTATTCTTGATCTTAGAGGAAAAGCTGTCAGTTTTTCAACATTGAGTATGATGTTCGCTAGGGGTTTGTCATATATGGCCTTTATTATGTTGATGTTGTTCCCTCTAAACTCAGTTTGAGAGTTTTTATCATGAACAGATATTGTACTTTGTCAAATGCTCTCTCTGCGTCTATTGAGATGATCATATGGGTTTCATCCTTCAATGCATTAATGTGACGTATCACCTTAATTGATTTGTGGATATTGAACCATCTTTGCATCTGTGGATTAAATTCCACTTATTCAAGGTGAATGATTCTCTTAATGTATTGTTGAATGTGGTTTGCTAATATTTTGTTGAGGATTTTTGTATCTATATTCATCAGGAATATTAGCCTATATCTTTTTATAGTGTTTTTATATGATTATGGTATCAG